GATCCCTTACCCTCCCTTATCCTTCCTATCTGATCAGTGCCCAAGTTTCTTGGGTTCTCTCTGACCAGCATTTCCCCCCTTGTCTCCACACACAGGGCTACCTTTAGTTCAAACCCTCATTATCTCTCTCTTGGACTATTGCAATTGCCTCCCAGTTGGTCTCCTTACCTCATCTATCCCTGTCTCTATTAATCATCCTCTTACCTCCCAAGACGATATTACTAAAACACATGGCATTCCCCTGTTCTGGAAATTCCAGCGGCTCCTTATTGATTCAAGATCCAAATGTCTCTCGTTGGCATTTAAAGTCTTTCATGATCTTCCTCCGACATCTCTTCTGGTCTGTTATGCATTTATGGACTCCCCAGAGGCAGCTAGATAATGCAGTGGCTATACCACTGGGCCTGGAGTCAGGAAGAACTGAGTTCAAATTTAGACTCAGACACTTACCAGCTGTGTGACCCTGGACAACTGGGAAATTGGAGGGTGGCTCACTCTTTCTCTAGCAAAGAGAACCTGACATGGGGGTGTTGGTGTGTCTATCTCCAGTTAACCTCTGCCTCAGTTTGCTCAACTATAAAATGTGGATCATAATGGCACCCTTCTCTCAGAATTGTTGTGAGGATCAAATTAATATTTGTAAAGCAAATATTACTGTGTTTGGCACATAGTAGGTTATTAATAAATACTTGCTCCCTCCCCCTTTTTGATATACCCTTTAATTTAGTAAAACTGACCTTTTTACTGTTCCTCATCTCTCAGCTCCCATTTCCAGACCTTTGAAGAACAGGCTTTCTGTCCACTATGCCTGGAATACGTGCTCTCCTCAGCTCCATCTCTTAAAATGCCCAAGTTTCCTTTAAATCTTGGCTCAAAAACCATCTTCCTTATGAAGACTTCCTTTGCTGATCTCTCTTCTCCTCTAAATTGTCTTATGGTTATTTTTTTCATATACTAATACAGGTACATGTTGTCTCCCACTAAGGAACATAAGCTTCTTGTAAGCACGGGCTGTCTCATTTTTGACTTTGAATATCCAGAAGCTAGCACAGCCCCCAGCACCCAGGAGGTATTAAATTAGTGTTGTTTATCGAGAGTTGTTATACGGTCAAAAAAAACCATCCATCGCCCTCCAGCATCTCGCCTACATTGGTGATGGGCTTTCCTGAACTAGACTGACGCTTGGATCACAAACACGTAGTCCATTGTTAGGACTCTACTTGAAGTCTTGCCAGCTTGGGAGGACCCACTTTGATTGAAACTTGCATTCCACTGCCAGAGCTGTGGAGAACTGAGGAGTCACCTTTATTCCATGATGAGGCATCAGAAGAGAATTGGAGTGGATGATTACTGCAGTATTCTGATGGACCTGGGCTTCACTGATGTGGATATTCCCTTTCACAAGACAGATCGTGAAGGAAAGGAAACAAGCATTTATTAAGCAAGGGCTATGTGCCCAGGCACTGTGCGAAGCACTTTACAAATATCTCATTTGATCCTCATAATAATCTTGGTTAGGCAGGTGCTATTATAATCCCCGTTTTATAGTTGAGGAAACTGAGGCAAACAGAGTTAAGCGACTTGCCCAAGGTCACACAACCAGTAAGTGTCTGAGCTCAAGTCTTTGTGATTCTAGGTCCAGTACTCTATCCACGGCGCCACCTAGCTCTCCATCCCAGCCCACTCTTATTCACGTCCTTCCATGGCCATAGTCATTGATGGGGCTTCCAGGGACTCCTGCCTAAGGGAGTCCAGCCAACATGCTCCAGAGCTTCACTGAGTTCTTGTTATTGCCTCAATAGCCATGGTTCCTTTGGGGGTATATTTTTCTGGTGACATCCTTTATGTTCTTTTTCTTCCATGATCCTCCATACATGGCAACCCGCTCACACCTACCATCTCTATGACCCTTGGAGTGATCCTTAACTTCAGTTCTCAAAGGCTGTAGTCTCCCATGGCTTGCAGCCATACACCATTACCAGGGGAAATGTAAATTATGAATGTGAATTGTAAATGGTGAAAATCAGAGGAATCCTTTCAGGAAGAAGCTTGGGGTCATTAAAACAACTGGGCAATTTCCGCAAAGATGATAATACAGCATACCCTCTTCCTTCCCCTCTTCAACTCTGGGCCTAACTCTGTGCAAAAGTGTCTGTCTAAGATATGTGCTCTGATGGATGAGTTCCGTAGGTTGTCCATCCAACTACTTATTATAGACTGGACAGAAGGTATGCTTCCTCCACTTATGTGGGTAGTTAGGCCAGACTCTGCAGGATGATAGACCTCATTTAGAAGGCTCTTCATTGTTCCAGGGCTTGATATAATCAGTCACCGGCTAATTGGACTGTTGGAAAGACCTCACCATCCATAGTGATCCTTCTTCAACTTGTAACTGGTGCTGGATTTCCTCACGATTAGTGGTGAGCATGTTTGATAAGCAGTAGATGATAATATTGTTATTGATATTAAGGGGGTTTTGTGAAGTAAATGTGTAATTTTATACCTTTCAAGTGTATTTGTGCATATGTGTGTATAGTTATAAACACACACATATGTGTGTATATATGTGTGTATATATGTGTGTATACACACACACACACACACACACACACACACACATATATATACACACACACAGGTTGTCCCAAAAGTCTTGGTGAAGTTTTAAATTTATGTATATATTTCTATACCTACACACAAACACGTATACACACATACTTACACACAGAGTATGTATATATGCATAAATACATATATACATGCATATAGAGAAAGAAGGAAGGAAGGAAGGGAGGAAGAAGGAAAGAAAGAAAGAAGGAAGGAGGAAGAAAAGAAAGAAACATACACAGGGACTGGATATATGACATCTATGACTTCATTAGCATGGGAAACCCTGTACCAATTTCTCTGCAATTTATAGTCTTAGAATGTTGTCTAGAACACTGATAGGTTATGACTTCCCCAGGGTGATCCAGCCAGCATATGTCAAAGGTGTGACATGAACCCAGGTCTTTCTGGTTTACTATTCTACTTCCACATCATGTATGTATCACATGTATATGCAGGTATACATATACATGTTTATGTATATAAGCACACGTGCATATGTATGTACACACATAAATATGTCTCTTTGTGGATATAACATGTTTTACACTGCTACTAGGCTTTAAACTTCATCAAAGCTGGTACCAACATTTCATCTGGACTCAGTATCATCCCGTACTCTTAGCCCTGTGTCCTGGAATGGAGTAGGTGATCAGCTGATATTTGTCAAACTTGAATTCTTCTCCTGTTTTCTCTAGGGCCCTTAGCACAGAAATGGGCACACAAAGGAGCTCAGCTGGGACTTGGTGAATGAAACAGAACTGAAATAGGAGGAAGCATGATTTATAGAAAGAACCCTGGACTTGCCATTAAGAAGACCTGTGTTCTAGTCTCAGTTCTGAATATTTGCTGTGTGGCCTTGAACAGGGCATGTCATTTATGAGTCTCAGTTTCCCATTCTGTAAAAGGAGGGGTTGGACCAGATGGTCTCTAAGGTCCCTTCCGGCTCTAACCTTCTGTGATTCTGTGAATATCATACTGATTTTCAAGGAATTGGAGTTAAAGTAAAATACACTTAATGCTAAATTTCTTCTTCTTCTTTTTTTAATGGTAAACTTCTGTTGAGCCTAAAAAGGACATTCAGGATCTTGGGGTCTTTAGAATGAACAGTACCCCTTACTAATGGAAGGCAGGAAATGTTTCCCTGGATGTGAGTGTTCTGGCTGGGTGGATTCTGGCTAAGTAGACATTCAACTTTTCAGTGCTTTTCCTAACTCCTGCTCCAGAGGCTGAGTAGAAAAACTTTTCCTGAAATGGCTTTTCTCCAGTTCTTTCCAGGAATGAATGCCTGAGGGTGGAAAATTAGGAAGGGAGGAAAAAAATCCCAGAATAGAACTAGTCCCCATCATGTTATGCCAGGCATTCTCTCATCTGCAAAGGAAAGGTGAGTGAAGGTCACCCACCTAACCCTACAGGGTAATGAGGAGAGAGGAGAGAAAGGAAAGAGTTGGGAAGAATCCATAGAGGTTATTTGGTTCATAGCACACCACCACAGAATGTTAGAGGCAGAAGAGAGCTTAGACAGTTTTTCTAACCCCTTCGTTTCATAGGTTCTTACTCATTCTCTCAGAGAGTGAAAATGGTTTGTCCAAGGCCATACAATGAATAAATGGAGGGGGCCAAGGCCAATCATCTCTTCATTTCTCCTCCCAGCTACACTCCTTTGGACTTTTCCATCATGGCCCCCTGTGCCAGGTACTATCTCTTCCCCTCCTCCCTTCATCTTCCTTTTGTATGTTGTTTCCCCCCAATAGACTGTAAACTCCTTGAAGGCAGGGACAATCTCTGTTCTCCATATTTCTATCTCCAGCACTTAACATGTTGCCTGGCACATAGTAGGTGCGTAATAAATGTTTATTGACTGACTGGCCAAAATGACAGAGACAGCACTTGAACTCAAGGTCTTAATTGATGCTAGGAGACAGAATTCTTGGTAATAGCAATTATCACACCTAGATGTATGACTGTAGGTAAGTCACTTCACTTCTCTGAATTTTCGTTTCTCCATCATCTGTAGACCAAGACTACAAATATTCTCAACTACAATGTTGTTGTGAAGTTGGTGCCAAACCGACTTTGTGTACAGAGAAGATAGAGGCAGTGTAAATGAGATCATCAACTAGCCTTAGAAGGGATCTGAAAAAGCTTCCTGCAGAAGGTAGCGCTTTATCCCAGATCCGAGGAAGCTAGGAGGAGGAGAGGAGGAGGGAGAAAGTTCCAGGCATGGAAACCAAACAGCGGCAATGTCCAGACTAGGGGTACGGAGTGTCTTGTTGGAGGAACAGCCAGGAAGTCAATATCACTGGATCATGTGTGGGTATTTTTTGGGGAGGGTGCAAGGGGTAAGGCTAGTTTTCAAGAAATTTAGCAATTAGGGGAGGAGAGAACTTGGGTATTGGCCGACTGAGCTATGATGATCAAGACAAGGCCTTTTATTTTTAAGGACTGAACAGACCTGTGTATATCTGTAGACACTGGAAGGAGCCAGTCACTGAGGGAGAGACTGAAAATTTGTGATGGAGGTGACTGCTACTGTAAGTCCTCAGAGGAGGTGTGTGGTGGGGGGCTGCAGGGTAGAATGAGATCGAAGGTGTAGACAGAGGGATTAGCTTGAGTGAATGTCTTTTTTTTCTGCTAGTAGTGGAATGGAAAATAGGTTGGTGACGATGTTATAAGTTATTAGGAATGGAGGAGGCGTGCTGAGGGACTGTTTGTTTTTTATTCCCTTATTATTGTTAGCATATCTCATGGGATCCCAGGATTCAGAGCTAGAAGGAACCGGAGAGATCTTGATTCTAGCCCAGCCCTCTCATTTTATAGACGTTAGAAGTGTGACTATGTATGTGTGTATGTAGGTGTGAGTCTGCCAGGATGTGTCTGGTAACCCCTCCAGCACTGGAAGGCTATTTTTAAATGTGACAACACAGGCATCTTCCCTAGATGTGGGCTCCTCCTCCTCCCAAACACACACACCTGCTCAGGTGTGGAGCCTCCGGGGTGATTCCATATCAGAGGTGTAGAAGCAGAGCACACCCCCCACCACTAGGAGAAACATCCTTAGGCCCTCCATGTTGGTTTTTGGCCAAGCAGGTGCAGGGCTAGGGGTAGGCCACCCCACCCTCTTCAGGTTCCTTTCAATCCTGAGATCACTCTGTGGGTGGGGCAGCCCAGGAAAATGGGAGGGGGGGGCTGTTAGTCAAGGAGATTAGAGAGAAAGAGATCCAGACAAAGTCCCAAACCTCTCTGTCAAATGAAATAATCCTTGTAAAAGTGCTTAACGCAGTGCCTCACAGATGCTTACTGAATGTTTATTCCTCTACCCTTCCCTTCCTTCTATTCCTTTTTCTAGATTATACCTGAGTTTGGGGAACATAGCTTTGACCATATCACTCTCCTTCTCTAAAGTCTAAAGTCCTCAACCTGGAACTCAAGGCTTTCTACAATTTGGTGTCTATGGAAATGAGGTAATGTATGTAAAGCAATTTGCAAAACTTAAAGCACTAAGGAAAGGTTTACTATGATTAATAAAAATAATAATAACAACAACTAGCAGTTTGTGTAGCACTTTAAGGTTTATAAAGCTCTTTACAAATGTTATCTCATTTGTCCCTACAACATTCTCCCCCCGCCCCATAGTTGCTATTATTATCCCCATTTTACAGATGAGGAAACTGAGGCGGACAGAGGTGAAGTGATTTGCTTCATCTTACATACCTAGTAAGTGTCTGAAGCAGAGGCAGAATTTGAACTCAGGTCTTCCTGACTCTTCCTCTAGTGCTTTGTCCCAACAGCCTCATTATTTTTGTTGTTGCTGTTGCACAAATCTTATTATTCTACAACCACTGCAGGATCCTTTCCCCTGCTTGAAATGCCTTCTTCTTCTCCACCAGTCCTTCCAGGCCTAGTTCAGATTGATCAGCTGGTTGGTCGTCGTGATTTGTTCTTGAAGAAGACCAATATGACATCACTACATTAGCGTCCGTGGCTGATCACACCAACGTGAGCTTGGAATGCTCTACTACAGGTTGGGCACAAATAGTCAACTATGCCTCCTCCAGAAGCACTCCCTGACTATTGCTATCCCAGCTACCCATTATCTCCCTTGGTACACACACACACACACACACACACACACACACTCTCAGAGTATCCAAGGATTTTAAGCTGGGTGGTCCTTAGAAATCCTCTAGTTCTATTCCCTTCTTTCATGGAAGGGGAGACTCAGGTCCCAGAAAAGGTAGGTGACCTATCCAAAGTCACATAGGTAAGTAGCACAGAGCCTGGATTTGGACATAGGCTATAGGACTTCAAAGCCAGAGTTCTTTCCCCTTTATGCTAAGTTACCTCCACCAAAAACATTGTTTTTCTCTGTCCTCATGTCTCTGATTCACTCTGAGAAGCATAAAGTCTTGGGAATCCTGCCAATTCCTTTCCAAGACAGAGCAGAACTTGATCCTTCCCATCTGTTCCCCCACAGCTCTAGCCTTTAGCAGACGCAGATCCTGTGGGCTTCTCCTTACCTTGTTCCACTAATGGTGGTGGGGAGAATATCTTGCTGAAACAGGGGCATGGTACAGATGAGGAGGGACAGAGAAGGCTCTACCCAGTCTGGGGAATTTCCCGGTGCTATTAATACGCCTGGCATAGGGCTGAGAAAGTCCCACCTGGCCTCTCCTGGTACAGAATAAGCTCTGTAATTTCCACCTAAGGGGGGCTTTCTTTCTTTGCCCCTCCCCCTATTATATAGGTTAGATGGGGAGTATTTTAAATGCCAGGAGATCACCTAGCTTCCTTCCTTAAGATCCTCTTGCTGGCTTCCAGGCCTCAGGTAGAGATAACAACTGAAGAAACAGGATGTCTCTCTCTCTCTCTCTCTCTCTCTCTCTCTCTCTCTCTCTCTCTCTTTCTCTGTCTGTCTGTCTGTCTGTCTGTCTCCTCCTCTCCCTCCCCTCCCTCCCTCCCTCCCTCCTCCTCTATCTCTGACACTATCTCTTTATCATTTAAGGGTCTTTGCAGGAAGCCTCTGCAGCCTCCCCCAAGGATAAACCTTAGAGAATCGCCTTGCTGGAGTAGTGAGATGATTCCACTGGGCCCTTTCGTGAGGAATAAGAGGAGAAAGGAAGGGACAGGGAGAGAAAGAGAGAGAAATCCATTTTTGGCTCTAGGCTATATCCTCCTGTCAATGGCTCCCAGGAGCTCCCAGGTTCTACAAACAACAGCCTAGAATACTCAGTCTGACCTTCACAGCCTTCCACCATCTTGTTCTTGCTTGTGTTTCAACCTTAACTCTTTCTATTCCCCTGTGTGTCCCCAGGTTCCCATCTGGCCAGTGTCCCCACTGCCCTACCCCGACCCTCCCAGGCTGCACCATGCTCTGTCTGACCTTGGCAGTGGTGCTTATGCTGCTCTATTCTTCCCTTTGCCTACCTACCCATTTGTCTTAGGTTTTGCCTTCTCCATGAAGCTTCCCTGAGTGCCCTAGTCCATGGTGATTGTTCCCTTCTCTAGATTCTCCCAGCCAGTAGTCAAGGAATTGAAGACACAAGTAGGTACCGACTATCTGAACCACAGAGTTTCACTGGGGATGACCAGCCCTTGGAGAGCAGCAGTCCTGCCTTCTGCTCCCACCTCCTTCGCTATGCCCCAGAGGAGGCTGAGCCCAGGAGGCAAGCCATCGGTCATGACTCGAACAAATCTCTGAAAGGGAGTTCTTGCAATAAGTCCCCAGAGAGCTCTGACCAGTGCCGAAGATCTTGGCACAAGGGAAACAAAGCATACCTGGCATGTCCAAGCATGTAGGGCTCTACTTGGCTCTACTTGTCCCTTAAAAAGGCCATGATTCTGTGGCAGCTAGGTGGCTCAGTGGATAGAGTACCAGCCTTAGAGTCAGGAGGACCTGAGTTCAAATCTGACTCCAGACACTTAACTAGTTGTGTGACCTTGGGCAAGTCACTTAACCCCAATTGCCTTTCAAAAAAAAAAAAAGGCCATGATTCTATGACCCCTCTCCTGAGCATGGGCACATCCACACCCACCCACACCATAAGGGTCCTAGGACCCACAGGCATACACTTTGAGGACAGGGATTATTTAGTCTTTCATTTTTGTAGGCCTTGAACACAGTAAGCACTTAATAAATACTGTTTAATTAATATAACACAAACACCCATAGACACACACACAAAGCATAGATACATACACAATATAAAAGGGCTTCTGTGACCGTTTCCCATTTTTTCACTGGTTGAATTTACTTTTGTAACCTCTGTCCTTTCCATTCTCTTTTGGTGATTGTGCTTTTTTTTTTTATTTTAGGGAAAGGATAGGACTAAGAGATGTTGGGGCTAGTACTAATACTCCCTAGGATCCTAGAAGCCTTGTAACTATAACTCAGGTCCCCACCTGGCTCTTTCAACGAGTTGTCACTATTTCTCTCTACAACAACAACAACGTCTTATGTCCTGAGAATTCAATAAAGGACAAGTGATTTGTTCCTGTATTGCACCTATCTATCCCCAGTCCTTTCCCCTCTTCTTCCCTAATAGTAATAATAATAACTAATTATAGCTAATAATATAAATATATAATATATAAAAATATAAAAAATAAATTACATCATTTTTGCTATTTTCTGATGCTTATCGACAGAGTCCCTTCCTTCCAGCCTTAGGGAATGACCCAAAACTCCCTCCATTCACTGTACTTGGGTTGTGAGAATTTCAGCCAGCATTTTGATAGGTTGGAGATTTTGGAAATCTGGTCCAGATATACATGTATATTTATGTGTGTGTGTGTGTGTATGTATCTATATCTATATCTATATCTATATCTATATCTATATCTATATCTATATCTATATCTATATCTATATCTATATCTATATCTATATCTATGTCTATGTCTATGTCTATGTCTATATCTATATCTATATCTATATAGATAGATATATAGATATATAGATATATGTGTGTGTGTGTGTGTGTGTGTATGTGTGTGTACATACATAATTTATTTTAGTGTTATGGGGTAAATCTCAGGCCTGATAGGGGAGACAAGGATTATCTGTGGGTTCTGGGAGCCAAAAGGTGAGGCCTGGGACACAGGGTGAGAGGAGAATCCCAGAGCAGGGGACTTCCCCCTCTTCTTCCTCCCTACTATCCCATGCCCTCCACATGTCTCTACATATACCCCCAGGACTATGACTTTATCCAGCAACATAATTAATAATAATTGCAATAATGATGATGATGGCATCTGTAGGTGCCTAGTATGTACCAGGCACTGGATGAAGTACTTTGCAAATATCATCTCATTTGATCATTAGAGCATTCCAGAACTTGAAGGTTATTCCTGACTCAGAGCAACACTTCCCCACCCTCATACTCCCCCAAGTCAAACAGAAGGTCTTGTGCTGAAACACTTATGCCCCAACGTTTTTGTTGTTCAGTCGTTTCTTCAGTCGGGTCTGACTCTTCGTGACCCAATTTGGGGTTTTCTTGGCAAAGATACTGGAGAAGATACTGCCATTTCCTTCTCCAGATCATTTTATGGAGGAGTAAACTGAGGCAAATCGGTTGAAGTGACTTGCCCAGTGTGACACAGCTAGTAAGATTCTGAGGCCAGATTTGAACTCAAGTCTTCCTGACTCCAGGCCTGCAAAATCCCCAAATTACTCCCTATCTATTTTCATGCTAACAGCTCTAGTGGTCAGACAGGATAGATTTGTAGCTTTCTATGTGTACCCCAATCATTTGGATGCGCATACTCGATCATAAACCTGTAAATAGATAAAACTTTTCCATCTACTAGAGCTTTTGTACCTAGTCACAGGATGAGAAGACAATCATCCCTGGAAGGAATCACTCTGTGGGTGAGATCATAGCTCTATCCTGTGAATAGTCACATATCTTGTAAATAACCCCAGGCCCTGCCATCTTTCCCCTCTCATACTACATAGACTATTATTCAGACAACTATAATTCCCAACATCATTTATCCATAAGACATATTTCTCTATCCTTCAATATCGCTTTGTATTTGCCACCAAGAATGCTATTCCCTCATCCAAGGCTGGGAAGTGAGGTGACTTTCTCCTATGATTGGGGAATAGGCATCAAGTTATTACAGGGTCTTCTAATTCAGTATCTTTGCCCTAGAATCCCTTACTAACAATCCTCCCCCGCCCCCCCCAACATGTACCCAAAATCATTCCCAATCTGCTAATACAAACAAGTATGGTGGCCTTGTGAGTAGAGAGCAGAGTTTGTAGAGAGAATTGATGTGTTTCTAGTTATCAAACCCTACCTTTGAGCTCACATACTCAATCCTCATTGTATATTCAACTGTCATTTAAAGGTCTATACTTTATGTGTATTATCTATAAACATACGAATTTCCAAAATAAAGAACCATTATTTATGAATACATATAATTCTCCCCTTCCATTATCTACCACTAACAGATA